CTAGGGATGCCAGCGTCGGATGCTAAAAAAGCCACCGGACGCTCGATTTTGTGCCTCCCAGCTGTGAGGCTGAAATTTGAGCGTCGGCTGACTTTTTGCCTCCAGGGATGCACAAAATCGGTTGTGGGGCATTGGTTCAAATGTGGCGTATTATAATAGCCTACTACTAGTAGGCTACTAGCATCAGAGACGCTATCTTTCGACATGTGCGCTAATATAGGGAATAAGCTATTACCATAGGTTGCATGGTAAGACCTGGACCCGGAACCGATCTGCTTTTTCGATTTGATGTCCCCAGAGGCCAAAAACACCATCCGTACAATATATAGATTTAAATATTATATAAATGTCCGTAAACGCGATAACTTGAGAAATTTCTGTCCAATTTTGATGAAATTTGGCTTAAAGGTGAAGGGCGGGATAAACTTGAATGGGTTCGCAAACCAGCATGAACGGACCTTGGGAACGGGGTTTCATGGGGTAAAAAAGGTGTTTTGTCATTTTTGACCCGTAGTCTAAAATAAAAAATTTCCCAACTTATATTAAAGTGTTTTTGTACGGTTATTAGTTAAGGAGAAAATTCAAACAAGTGTAGATTAAAAATCCCCATGTTATGATTATAGAAAAAATTGTTAACTGTTGGAATTTGCTTGTGCTGTATGGATATATTTTGATCAAACTTGGCCAATTTGTTTTATACTAAGCTATTAATATTTTACTGTACTAAAAACACACTTTATTAGCCTCATTAAAGCAGCAAACCTGGGTACTCGTTAAACCTAGTAATAACACTAAATAGATATAAACAAAAAGTGACAAGGCATTGAAATAAAATGGCAGTCCGAGAGGCTAGCATCCCAACACAAATCACGTCATTTTCGGCTCGAAGTGGGACGCTAGCCTCTCGGACGCCAGCATCCCGGACGCCACCGTCCTAGTATAATCTTAGCCTTAGTTTTAGGTTAGAGTTTGTAATAAATCGTTTCGTTCACCACAAGTGTAAAGACAACAATGAATTTAATAGCTTATTCCCTATATGGGAAATTCGCTAATAATAGTGCTGCACCCTGTTGGTAATCCTTGTAACTTTAATGCTATTGAACATCATAGAACAGAACCAACTTGTTTAATTCAAACAGCTGTTAAGATTCATTAATTCCATTTAAATATGAGTACTCATAAGGTTAACATGGGAAACTCCAGAGCTACTGGGGCGGAGGGGCCTTGGGCGGAGCCCGAGAGTCCGATCATAATATAAACAACTTAAATTTTCCTATTTAATGCCTAAAGAATCAGTGTAGGCATACCAAATTTCAGCCTCCTAGGTAAATGGGAAAATAAGAGAATTAGTGATGAGTGAGTCAGTGAGGGCTTTGCCTTTTATACAGGGTGGCTGAAAAGTAACTTGCACCCCCACTTAACTTTTCAATCATTTGAGATATTTGAAATCAGTTTGCGGCAACCTTCTTAGATATGAGGGGCCACAATATTTATGGTCAATTTTGAAAATTTTGCCCTAGGGGTGGCGGGGGTAGGGGGTAGCTCAAAATGTTCAAATGACAAGTATATTCAAGTTTGGTATCATTCTACAGGTCTTGACGAAACATGAACATTGACATAAAGAAAACAAAAATCGGCTTACTAATAACAAAATGGCACCCTAAAACGTTTTAAAGCCAAATAACCATGAGGGTGGCCAAAAATTAACTTGCACCCTCTTTAACTTTTTAACTATTTGAGATATTTGAAATCGGTTTGCGGCAACTTGTTTGGAAATGAAGGGCTACAATAATCATGGTCAGTTTTGAAAATTTTTCCCTTAGGGGTAGCGGGAGTATAGTAGGTAGCTCAACATTTTCAAATAGCAAGTATAGTCGAGTTTGGTATCATTTTGTAGGTCTTGATGAAACATAACAATTAACATAAAGAAAATAGAAATCGGACCATTAATAACAAAATGGCAACGCAAAATTACTTTGAATAACCATTGTCTTAATCATTTTTAGCTGCCTTTTTGTTATTAATGGTCCGATTTCTATTTTCTTTATGTTAATTGTTATGTTTCGTCAAGACCTACAAAATAATACCAAACTCGACTATAGTTGCTATTTGAAAATTTTGAGCTACCCCCTACCCCCGCTATCCCTAAGGGAAAAATTTTCAAAACTGACCATAATTATTGTAGCCCTTCATTTCTAAACAATTTGCCGCAAACTGATTTCAAATATCTCAAATAGTTAAAAAGTTAAAGAGGGTGCAAGTTAATTTTTGGCCACCCTCATGGTTATTTGGATTTGAAACGTTTTAGGGCGCCATTTTGTTATTAGTGAGCCGATTTTGGTTTTCTTTATGTCAATGTTCATGTTTCGTCAAGACCTGTAAAATGATACCAAACTCGACTATTCTTGTCATTTGAAAATTTTGAGCTACCCCTAAGGGCAAAATTTTCAAAATTGACCATAATTATTGTAGCCCCTCATATCTAAGAAGGTTTCCGCAAACCAATTTCAAATATCTGAATATCTGATTTCAAATGGTTGAAAAGTTAAGTGGGGGTGCAAGTTACTTTTCAGCCACCCTTTATATAAAACTATGTCAGGACTATGTTGGCATACCAAATTTTTGGTTGGCAATTTAAATGTCAACCGGTGTAGTAGGTCACTAGAAAATGGTCCAATAAGCTGCAGGTGTCAGTAGATACCAAATTGGATTAATATAATGCCAAATTATCCCAGTAGTGTATGGTTCAGAAACTTAGGCACTGACCAAAGAACAGAAAAAACTTATTGCTGGGTTTGAGAAATAAGAGTGCAGAGAAAATATGCGGACCATTTATGATAACGGAGGTTGAGATACGGAAGATCAGAGAGCTAAGAGGATTGTTTAAACACCCAGATATGCGTGGAGGAGAGAAGATCTTTTAAAAATATTTTCCAATAAGTACCACAAATAAGACGACCACTTGGAGGACCAAGCAATGATATACTTCTTCTGACTGGGATCAACATTATCCGAGGCAAGGGATAGAAAATGGGAGGCTAAAATCCTGTTAAGGTATCAGTTTCCACTGAGGTAAAATAAGGTACATAGCAAGTGATAATATGCAATTAAAGTTGGTAAGTAGTTACTGTGGAGTACCAGTGTGAGTAAATCGACCGCCATCTCACTTCAAGGCTTTTCAAATCAACACGATTGCTAAAATTATTAATTTTATTGTAAAATAATTGGATTTAAAATGCATAATCGTATAGGCCTATAATCAGATGAAAGAAATAGATGGTCATGTGGTAGTGTATAAGATTATTTTCCCTATTAAAACTTCCTGAATTTGTCTTTATGCTTGTTGTCTAGCAATTCTGAATTATATTCAGTTTTAATCGACTACTCGATTCCCGTACGTAGGACGGGCTAAGAGCTAGTTTGATATAAAAAGAAAACTGAGTGCTGCATTTCTTGAGCAATCATTGAAAGAGCCTATTTGCAAACGGTGGAAACATAGGAAAGTCATAGAACACCACCAAGTAGAAGAAATAGAAATAGCCTATTGTTGTTTTTTAGAATTTATAATCGTTATCATGGACAACCTAATGCGGCTATGAGTTTAAAACATTTATAGAAAACACAAAAAATACAAGATCATTATTTGAAAAATGAATAGATATTTACAACAAATATATTGATTATATCGAACTGATATGCACATCTTGAGTATTTCCAAAATCTTAGATCTTATAATCTTATAAAGTCATCGGAAATATGACTGTTATTCGTTTTAAAATAACGCCTGTAATACTTCACACCTGCTCGAATTCGAGCAACAGGTACACTAGTTTATACTTACTTACAGACGATAGACATGCCATGAATAAAATAAAACTAATTAGCTTAAGGTGAATCGAATTAATCATAGGAAATTAACCTTTCACTGGAATTGTCAGCTTAAAGTTTAAAGACAACACAAAAACTAATCTGGCCATGATCATGAGTAATTAATAGATGTATTTTATGGTTATGTGATTGGGGAAAAGATATGAAATAAACTTGTGTTGGAATTATTTTCTATAAACAGAAAATGCGAGTTCGTCATGCTTTGAGCAGCTATATATTTAAGTGTACAAATAAAAAATAGTCAAAATAGATCAGCTTGAATATCTTAAAACTGTACACGGTGAAAAACTCAAGAGCACTTTCAATAGTCATCAAAGTGTTACTTTTAATTTATAAATGTATGTATATATACAGGGTGTTTCCAAATTGTCTGGACATATTTTGTAGACTTGTTCCTTGGGCTAAGACAAACATAAAATGCCGTATAAGTATGGGTCTAAAATGCCTAGATTTCTGTTTGTCGGTCTGTTTGTGATTTTTAAGAATTGTTTTATATCTTGGGCATTTTTCAAGATAGAAATTTCAAAATTTGTATAAATGTGTATTTTATTTTAGTAGGTAAAAAGAGCTTACAAAGTTTTGTTCCAATACCTATGAAAACCAAATAATTTTTTTTGAAATTTCTATCTTGAAAAATGTCCAAGATATAAAATAATTCTTAAAAATCACAAATAGACCGATAAACAGAAATCTGGGCATTTTAGACCCATACTTATATGGCATTTAATGTTTGTCTTGACCCAAGGAACAAGTTCACAAACTTTGTCCAAACAATTTGGAAACAGCCATAGCCAACATGGCAAACTATTTATGTTTAACTATCCATTCCTTAATTCTTTGTTCCAAGTTCTAAGTGGCATTTTACAAGGCAAGGAAAGTAAAAATTATTTCAGTAATAAAAGTGATTCTTTAAATGTTAGAACAAAACTGTATATTTATTATGTTAGAAAATGAAAACATAAACATTTGACAGATGTTTCAGATAATTGTTAATATTAAATTATAAGCCAGGTATAATTGAAATATGTTACAGTCTTCCCCTCTAAAAAGAGAACAAGAGGTTGAAGTCTTGGTGTGGAAAACTCATAACTGATACTTGTGAGGTGTATAGCTTAATAGCTTACTGGAGTCATTGAAAAGTAGTAGGTTTTGTCTGGAACTGGAGTAGAGTATTCAAAATGACCAGGAGCGGGAGTTAAATACTGAACAGGAGGGAAATCAACTAGGGGTTTTAGAATTGACGTGGTCGATTTGTAACAGTTTGGAATGGAATACTCGTAGCTCACTGTCGGGGGAGAAGGAGTTGAGTACACATTGGGCTTCAATGGTTTTACCGGCGCAGGAGGTACATATTCACAGCTAACTGCAGGCACTGTTGTTGTATACTTAAGAGTCTTCAGTGGAGTTGGAGTAGAATGTTCAGAGTATGGGGGAGCAAAAGTCATGTACTGGACTGGTTTCAGTGGTAGGCCTACAATTGGTGTTTTGAGAACTATCGGCACTACAGGTTTCACAGCTGGGTAAGAGTACTCGTAGAAGACAGCAGAGGCGGGTGGTGTGTAAGTTACTGGTCTCAATGGCATTTCGTAGGTTATTAGTTAAACTGGAACTGCGGAGTAGCCGTAGCTCACAGGTTTGACAGAGGGTGGTGGAGGTGGCGAGGAGCATGTTACAGCAGGCTTCACTGTTGGAGGAGCTAGGGTGGAAGTGGATAGTTGAGAATCTATGGGAATTTTCAGTTTTTGCAACCAATCTCGACCTAGTAATGGATTAATAATGTAATCAACTACAAACAAGTTCAGGTTTGTAGATTTGTTGTTGTACCATACCTCAACTTCGACGACACCCAGAGGTTTAAAGATTTCACCGGTAACTGTTTCAAATTTTGTCGATGTTGGCTGAAGAGTTCTGTTGGGGCAAACTCTTAGAATGTCTTTGTTATTAATTATCGTTACTGGACACCCAGTGTCGATTTCAAAGGTAAGTTTACCATTTTAAATGTTCAGTGTCGTCGTGAATTTTTCCGTTGGTGAAGTAGTGGACGCAATACGGACAGGAACAATTCTTCCAATAGAAAACTCATCATGTTCTATGTTTTCTTGAATTATGGTATTTACCTTGCGATGATTTGATCTTGTTAAGGTTGATATGCAAACTTTAGAGATATGACCACGCTTATGGCATTAACTACAAAATAAGGTGTTAATGTCCCTGTCACACGATTTTGCCAAGTGGTTACTCTCACCACAACGCACACATAGTCCTGCAATTCCTAGGCGCTCATACAAGTTCTTACGATTATTTTGACTTTGTTTTGCTGATGAGTTATCACAATCATAGTTTTTTGTACGAAAAACTCTAGAAACTTATGAACTGATTATTAATTGAATCAGTTCCATGAAATGTTTTGCAACCTTTTTTTGATGCTTCAAGAGTCAGAGCCTGTTCATACGCACCTTCAAAAGTCAATTCTGGATGCTGAAGAATCTTTTCACTGATTGTTTCATCTCGTAATCCTCGAATGAATTGTGCACGTAAAAACAAATCGACCACTGAAGATTCACAAGAAGGGCAGTTGAAATTGTATGTGAATGTAAGTCTTCTTAGTGCAGCTACAAACTCAGATATGGACTCTGTCGGACATTGAACACGTGATAGAAAAGTATGTTGTTGCACAAAAACATTGGGTTTTGGACATGAATGTTTTTCAGCTATTTTAATCAATTCGTCGTAGCTTTTGTTTGATGGTAGGTCTGGAGATACAAGACTACCTAGTAGCTGATAATGTTTTGGTCCAATACAATTAATCAATATTAATTCTTTGATTTGTTGTACTTCATCTTCGTTTCCTGTAATGTTTTTCAAATGAAAGTAATTTTCAAGTCGTTGTCTATATGAATTGAAATCTTCAAGATTTTCATCAAATGAATCGAAATTGAATTATGTGATTCCGTTCTGGGGTGTTGAAGGTTTTGGATTCTGTGCATGGGTTTGTATGATTTCATTAAACTTGTTCAAAAGCATAGCCTGTTGTTGAACAAACGTCGATAAAATTGTTGAAATGTCTTCAGTCATGATAGTATGTTAATTTCAATGTTTATCCTGTAGAAAAGTGGATGAGTCATTAAAAATCCCCAATCCCCACCAATCCCGGTGGTGTGACAACAGGACTGAATTTAACCTGGTCCGTTCAGGGTCCGCAGGCGCAGCCATGCGGATGATTTCAGGGGTGCGACATTAGGACTGAGGGAGATCTCCCTCGCCGCGTCGGTTTCTTCCCGTTCTCCCTACCCTCACAGATCTGGCAGTTTTTACCCTCACAGACCGCAAGAGAACTAATCACCTAATGGAGTCGTTCACTAGGTCGCTAAGAACGCATCACCTCATGGAATCGTTCACCTAATTGCTGCGTCGTGTTTTTGAGAGAACTTGACTGTGCGGCATATTTTTTTTCCAGTTCAAGACTAAAATGTTTAATTGGTCAAAATACTATCACCCTTACAGTTGTTAGATCCATCAAATAATGACTTAAATATAGACTCTATTATTTAGTAAGTTACATAATGTATAGTGAATGGAAATACAAGGAGTAAATTAAAAAGGCTGTTTAGTTGTAGCTGCGGCGGGGGTATTTTGTATGTAGGCCTAATGTGAATTTAGGATTTTCATATTAGTAAATTTATGAAAAATTAATGTTTAGGGGCAATATATAGGTTTTAAAATAGTTAAAGATATGAAAGTAAAACCTAAAATTATACTAAAGCAATTATTAGGTTGTTGGTTAATTTTGTAGTATTAAATTGTACTATCGTATTGATATGAGGATTAAGGCTGTTGTTGACGTTGAGTTGTATTAACTGGGTTTATTTATTTAAACAATACCAACATGTGGTATTGTTAGTTTGTGAAACGCATCTCACGAACTCCCGGCTGCATACAGACTGATCCGCGGTCAGAGGGTAGTTTTGGATTATTCAAACTGACCCGGGGGTCTGGTAGGTAGATAATAGGGTCGCTTGAAACGGGCGTAGGTAAGCTGCTCCCCCGTGCCTGGGACGCCAGCGAGTGCGTCGTGCAAAATGCTTGTCTTGACTGTACTCTTCCATTCCTTACCTAATCTCTTAATCCCTTCCTTGAGGGTGTGAGTAAACTGTTCTCCCTTGGCTGTTGCATACATTTGATTGTTCACTATAAAAAATATGTTCATTATAAAAAATAAAATATACTAGTTAACAATATAGAAAAGTCGATATTCTCCATTTAAAATCAACACTGTACTTTCCAAAGCAAACATTATAATAAACCCTTGAAAATAATTAAACCCTCTTTATAATCAATAATACTAAATGAAAAAAATAAAAACTCATTTTAAAAACACGTACTAGTTACTGTATCAATATAGAAATAATACTATTTACTCGAGTTTCTTGGAATACTTTACCTACGACCGGTTTTTAATTACTAATAATCACTAAACCCGATTTCCAGAAGAGGTTATATTTTCGTTTATGTATAATCTCTCAATGCCACTGACAGAGATGCGACGACTCGTTGTACCAATCACTAAATACACCTATCGTTAACATTTCAATTGGTAAAGAGATGGTTAGTTAAAGTTCGAAGCATTACAATAATTGTTTAACTTTTTTTAAATTATTTTAATTTTTCTCTTAATACTTGACCCTCATTGGTCAAGTAATGTTCCCGTGTAGTTAACTAAAATAAACTGATACATTGCCCGTGTAGTTAACTAAAACTATGATGTTATGTAAGTAAACAATGCTATTATGTGAAACTTTTTAATTTTAAGAACTGAACTGTAACGGCATTTAAAAAAAAACGGTTGTAGGTAAAATATCAAAATAAACTCTTGAAAATGATTAAGGTTTGTCACATGTACGAAGCATGAACGAAGTCCGTCATTTTTTTGCGAATAGCAAATTTGCGAAATTTTTAGCAATTTGAACGAAGTATTTCCGCGAAATCGCACCACTCAAATAACGTTCTCTTGCAAGGTTTACTTAGTTTTTTCTCTTCCTGTACTGTTTCCCTCCATTCTCCCGTGGCTTGTCTTGCACACTATTGATCTTAACATACTAGGAATGACACCAGCTCACTCACAAAGGGTAAACACATATAAATATTCTATAACAAAATACCGAGTATATCATAATAGTAACTCATTATCTTGTAGATATAAAAATCAATAGTGTTTATCAATGTTATTAATAATTTTGCCTTTAAGTATACCAAAATTAAAGGTTATACACGCGTACTTACAGTAACTGTTAACACAGCATCTACGGTCCTACTACCGTTAGTACGGTCATAATACTTTAGATCCATTAAGGAAATTTGTAAACAAGTTACCAACTCTGGGTCAGATGAAATCTGCAACCAAAGGTAAGTACAGTGGTCACCCATTGCAGATTGAATCTTCTTAAAAAGAACTTCATATGTTGTTTCCTTCTAATCAGGAAGTAGGGTAAACAGAAGTGGGATGTAGTGTCCATTCTTCGCTGCAAAAATTGTAAACATCTGCTTGAAATTGTCACAGCAATAGTCGAAGGTTCCATCCATTAGCAAAGTCACTGTCTTTTAGCATTTCTATATTTCTCTCTGTTCCCAATATCACAATTTTATTTTACTTATCGTTGTCTAATAGAAAGTTCTCTCCCCGGCCGGTTTCAATGTTCATACTATCCAGCGCCAGTTGAGTTTGAAGTAAAGTTTTAGGTAGAGGAGGCAAAGATTTTCTTCTCGCATTGTAAATATTCTTCCTGACCTTCGAGATATCTTTTTCATTGACTGTTTCCTTTCCACTACTTAATTCTAATTCCAATTTAATGATTTTCTCGGGTTTCTCAAACAACTGTTCTGTTGCTTTTCTTTTGCAGCTATTTGATATCGCTTGGACTGAATATTTGCTTTCGTCGGGGTCATGATTATGCTGTAGATTGTGCTCTAGTATATCAGTTGTTTCCGCGGGAGTACCGCGCACGGACGTTTTACCTCAGACATACCACACAAAATCAATTGTTTTCGTATTATGTTATCACCAGAAATATGCATGATTTTTTTCCGTGCGAAAAGAATGTTTACGGTGCAAATTTAATGTTTGCTATCATATTTTTTTATGTTGTCGACGTAAACAAACAAACATTATTTGTAATTATTGTATAAACAGTTTCAATTTGCAACAACCAAAACTGTACAATCAATGTAAATTTGGACTCGTTATATAAAGCCTAGGTAAAAAATGTCATTAGTTTTGAAGTTTTCGTAACTGGATTAAAGAAATTCAGTATTCCAATGAATGTTTTTATTTAAAAAGTAATTAGTCTTTGTAGTGTACCGAAAAATAACGTTGAAAACAAAAGTGAAAGTGGATAGTTTACTGTAGTCTCAACCCTATTAAAAAAATTAAATTACTTCTTAAAACAGTTTGCTACAGAAACTTTACATGTCCTAGGTAAGATGTAATTATTATGTAAAACAAATTGTGATAAAAATCATCCTAAAACTCCCGCCCAGGGCATGGTACTTTCGGTGTGGCATGGCTCAAAAACCAAATTTGATAATG